CTAAGTAATGGCATTTAGCATCCGATAAATTCGCCTAGAACCCATTGCATGACAAGCCAATAAAAGCCCAAGAAACTTCGGCATGGAAATAAATCTGCAATGCGAGGATTTCGAGGTATTTCCAGAGGAAAACCACGCAAGGCATATTCTGTGCGAAAACACACAAAAACGTAAGTAGCATGAATAGGCGCTAATACTGATTCAAACAAGAACAGGGAATACCTGAGACTGCTATGCTGTTGGAATGACTTTCCCATAAAGAATAAGCTTTCAAAAAATGAACATAGCAAGCAAGAATAACTCTCTAGGTTTGAGCTGAGGTATTTGGTAGGCAAACTTTTCTTGTTTGCCGATAAAAGAACAAAAGTCAACGCTGACTCGTTGTGAAACGACGTACCCGATATTCACGCTGTGACTTAATCCGATGCCCTTTGAAAGAAAAGACCCTTAAGCAGGATTGCCTTGAAAGAGAGAAAATTGAGGAGTGCCACAGCAGCCACCTCCTGGAATTAAATCAGTGCCTCATCTCATCACACTAGATTGCTCCAACTTCGCCGACTATGAGAAAAAAAAAGCTAATTTAATTAGTGTGACACCCAAAGTAAACCAAATTCAAACAGTATCTGCATGGGGCATGCATATATAATGCATGCGGTTGTGCGAAGTTTTCAAAAGAGGAAATTAGAAACACATCTTGAGTAGTTCATCGATTTTGATGAATGGATGTATAGATGAACTTCGCACAGGGGCTGGAAAAAACGTCACCTTTTCGGCAAGAGTTGAATAGATAAGTTCATTAAATTTCCCGTTCATTAAATTTATGCCATAAAACGTGAACGGAGATAAAGGGAAAATCGCTCCCTATGCAGCACAATTAGATTTACAGAGTCGCATGAATATAGGAAAATTAAATCAGACTAAAGCAGGTAACGAGAAAACAAGACTGATATGAAAAGCTACCGTGCTTATATCAAAACAGAAAGCAACTGAAGTTTTTTCAGAAGGCACTAACCGAGGAACAGCTTCAATCAATAAAATAGTTCACCCTGAAGAAACTCAAGCAACATGTGTTCAAATGAGCTTGGTTTCCATGGAAACCAGAATACTTTACAGAACTTAAAATAAATAAAAATTCAGAGTAAAATAAAAATGCTTAGGAATAAATACTCAACAAAAACCTTGGAAATGTGAAAGGAAATAGGGTACTGTGCAAAATCAAAGGAAAAAGGTGACTGTCATTTGGCAGATTTCGATTGATTCGCTTGATGATTTGGAGATTTTCCGATCCTTTTAAAGCTATAGTGAAGAAAGAAAGGGACATACACATCGATCGCCCCGCAATGCGTCACGGGGTGTGGGTTGGGAGAGTAGGGGGCGGGCGAGGGGCCGTCGTTGTCTATCGGAACGAGGTTCGCCGCGCTCTAATGACCTATTGGTGACCGTCGTTATTTCTACACTACTAGTACATCTCCAGTGAGTAAAAATTAAGAAGTTGCCCTAATGACCGCAATTGTTCGCCCATTTATGTCAATTAATTATAATGTTACTAATTCATTATGCCAAGAAATAGGGGTAACGAGTGTAAATTCATCACACATCGAATACATTTTGAAGGCAGCGCAGCACAAAAAGGTTACCCCATTGGCTATTTCTCTTGGGAAGGATGAAACTGACAATAACCTCGGCTTCCGCTTTCTGGTTTTCATGCCGATTGGCCATCGTTCTTCTGTTATTGTCTTCTTTATGACTACATGTTCGACATTCCAAAATTGCCTTTTCGTGGTAAGAGTGTCCAATTTCAGCGAAAATGGCGGCTTGTTCAGCAATGCTACCCTTTTACAGCTGCTTATCGCACCGCTATGATATGTTCTGCCTTTTATACTGCACCTTCTGCTATGGAGTGTAAGGAAATATATCATAGAGAACTGAACTGATGAACTTAACTGTTAGAAAATAACAAAACAATTGAGCGCAAAGGTGAAGCACAACTGTGAAACGGTGCAGTCATTCCAGATTTGATCGAGCTGTTACCGAAACCATGGAATAATTGTCAGGGGTCGAGTTTTACCTTTTCAGAAAGGAATTGTTTTCTTAGGTACCATATTCAATAGAGTTGATCGAGATTGTGAACCTGGGATGGTATTTTATTAACCACTTTGCGCTGTCATCAGATCAAGCGGCAGGCGACATTAGCAATGTGGGTTGATCATAAAAGGTCGACTGACTGACTACCTGAACTCGTTGTAGAATAAAGAACGACTTTCTCTCATTTCGGAATGCGACAATCATCCAAGAGACACGAAACACAGCATTTACCTCGACACATAAGTAGTCTTTGACGCAATATTTCAGCACTTTTTATTAGGCTAACGTTTCGGCCTCTTCGCCTTTGTCAGAGCCTGAAAGTCGAAAAACAATTGAAAATTGTTTTTCGACTGTTTTTCGACTTTCAAGGCTCTACGAAGGGCGAAGAGGCCGGACACGTTAAGCTAATACAAAAGTGCTGAAATTTGGTCAGGCTATCAGCAAAACTATCGCAATTACTGACTCGGTACTTCAGTATGCCAACTAAATGCTCTCGTCTGCGACCTATCGCCTTATCGGCGACTCGCGACCACAGTGATCTCACACATTCAAACTTTTGCTACACTGAAGTTGGCTCATCCATCGGAGCCCCCTTCCTAAGACTTTCACCTTCCTTGAGATTTAGCCAGCCAACGGAAGCAAAGATTGGCCTAGGGAGCTGCAAGCTCTAGAAGTTCCGAGGTAACCGTGACTTTCACTCTTCGAAAATCAAAGCCTCCAGAATTGTTTTTAATTGATTGTTATTATTAATTGAATTTGAATTGATCAAGTTTGAGATGTATTATGTTATGTATGCCATTTTATTAGTTCTTACGAAGTCAGAAAAGCTCCCCAGGCCAACTAGGAGTTGACATCGACTATGCGAAAGGTGCAACCAACGCATGAAAGCTAATATGCGAAGTCTAGTGCCAAACTAGCTTCATTCCTAGCTCCTCCCTGTTACCTAAGAAGAGAGCGTATGCCCGCAACATAATGAATTCATTTGTAGCTTTCACAAGGGAAACAGAGAATTCAAGAAAAAGTGGAGGGTGGTGATGAATGCACATACGCATGACCCATTGTATCGCTGTCAATGCACACAAGAAAGAGAAACACAGAATATTTCCGGATTATGAAAAAATGCGCACACGACAAAAGTATAGGAGAGTAAACCTCCAGCACAACATACTCAACAAATTGGACATCTCATACAAATGTTTTATTCACCTATAAACAACTCAAGGGGCACCCTCTCCTTAATAACACGTAATATATCTCCTAGCAAAGGCGGTATCCTAAAAGGGAACACAAGGTAACTAAACGATGGATAGACGAAGAGTAGCGAAACAAACAGCACAAATGGAAATCTAATAGTATCGATTTAAAACTAAGTTCACACGTTCGAAATCATTATCTAACTGATGCATGTTCCCGTATAAACAAAAAAAAAACATAGCCGTGATGATTTTAGACTGGCCACTGTGTCATCAAGAAAAGTAAGCTTACTCTGAATTGAACCAAACGATGAACTATCTCAATGGACTACTTCAGCACAACACAGGAGCTCATACCCGCAATGAGGAAAAATAGCTAAAACATCAAGAATATGCAATATATGATAATGATCATGTGGCTAATAAGCATAACTAGCGGATTCAAAATTGATGGACAAGTTAGTACTGGGAAGGACAGTCCTTCTTTTCCAGTTTATTGCTATCTCCGTTTTTATCCAAACTGCCGAACAAATTCTCCACAAGGGCATACCTGAAAGCACTACATTTAGGAAAAACAGTATGATTCTGAAGTACGTCATGTAAGCAATCAACAGGAGCGGCTGCTTCTGCCTCTCAGTGCCTAATAATAACGAAGTAATTTGATTAGAAGAATGACAAAGAGTAACGAAGTTCCTCACTGGAATTGCTTTTTTTGAACAATTCTGATTAGACCTGAGAATACTGAATAAATTTGAGCTGATCTACCAAAACCTGATGCCAATTCCAAGCTACGGCCTTCCCCTGAAATGACCGGTACCACTTTGATCTGGTCGCTTCGGAGGAGGGCCACCTCCAGGATGAGGAGGCACCGGTCTTTTATGTGAAGGCACACCAGGTCGAACACCTTGAGGGGGCGTCGCTGGTCACCAGGACCAGTGGATGAAGGTTGCGTCTTAAACAGTTTTATGAGCGGTTTTCAAGTGTAATGAAAAGCTTCATCGATACGATCACAGATAGAATACAGAGTTTGTGGACGAAGGAATATATTTTAATCACAGCTAATGATAACGGAAAGAAGGTCGAAAAATAAAGAATAAGCGTAAGGAAAATGCACTCGGCGTCGATCAACTTCCATTTTGGGATGCGCCACGCATTTCCACTTTTTCAAAGGCTATGGTTAGCTGAATGCTAGTTGGCATATACAATGACTTGCGGAGCATTATTACAGGACAGTTTCACAAGAATGCTGGGTTGTGAACAAAACTTTCGCCCCAGGCGGGACTAGAACCCGCACCTCTCGCTTTCCGGGCAAGTGCGCTACCAGTTACGCTACCGGGGCACCATTTCATCCCAACTCAGCTTTTCATGGTATACGTACCATAGCTTTCAGCACTCACACGTATAACGTGTTGAGCCGGTTAGCCGATATCGGCAATGACCGCGAGGCTGGAAACTCTTTAGCAGGGATTTTTACTTGTTTTTTGCTGGTGTAAAACTGCTGTTTTTTGTCCGCGTTCGGCCTTCCTGCGATTATGGAAAAGCGAGAGGTGCGGGTTCTAGTCCCGCCTGGGGCGAAAGTTTTGTTCACAACCCAGCATTCTTGTGAAACATTCGCAAGGCGAACTGCGGCCAAAAACAGCAGTTAACAACAAAAACAAGTCAAAATACAGGACAGGGTTTTTTTACTTTCCCCACTAAGTCTGGTATCAAGTAAGCGACCGCGGAGGGAAAGCTTGGTTGGCTTGGACCGAACGACGCATGACTCAGGGTTTGATTCCCACACCGTGCGCGTGGTAAGCAGTGCCACTTGCCACACAACTTCCGCCAGAAGTCAATCTTGGTCGAAATAGAATTCAAAAATACGTATGAAACACATCTCAGTGAAAGCTAGACCGGAGCAATAAACATCAGAGTTCAGCTACTCTACGTCGTTTCTCAACAACCAAGGTCGTCAACCTTAGTGAACTCATCTGACCAATTGTACGCATCTAATAATTACAGAGAAAGGAGCAGAGATCGAATTACTGTACAGCCCTCTTAATAAACGAGTGACGTGGATACACGACAATTGAGCATATTGGAGAATCGAGGTCGGCCCATATGTACTTATTTCAAAAGAATGATGTGATTCCTAAGACAGCTTCCCCTAGTGTCGCCACTTCTCAGGACTTTTGAATCAAGTCAAGCCCGTACTCCCATTTGACTCAGTTTCGCACCTATAAGAAATGCACGCATATAAAGTCAGGAAAAAGTCCGGAGGACGAAAAATTTTGACGTTAAGGGGATTATTTGGTCAATTTCTCTTTGTTGTTTCAGAGCCGCTAATTTGAATGGATATTATTTTCAGGTTCCACTCCAGGTTCCACACACGTGCCCACATTCAGAAAAGGTGCTGTTGTAGTATATACGTATTAAGGGCATCCCCTAGGACGACAGCTGGGGAGGGGGGGCAGGAACATTGGAGGAAGGGAAAATCGCTAACGTTCCCCGGAGACGGCCTCCAAAAGCGTTCTGGAACTGATCGGCCACCGTGACATATATCACATTTAAGAAATTAAGGCAACCTCACGCAGCTTTACTTGTGAACCTCACCCTCATAATAATATTAAACATTTCGACTTAACATAGCTTATGTAGAAAAAGTACGCATCTAAAGAGTAAATACAACGAACTTAATGATTGGGAATACTCACCTCGCCTTCGGGTGGTGGGGATGGCTTGCGTGCTCTTTCCATGGCTGCGTATTCGCTGTTGAACTCGCTCATGTTTGGTGTCTCAGAATACAACAACATGAAATCACCCGATTTCATAAACTCACCCTGGCGACCGCAAGATAAATTCAACATTCCCTGAAAAA